AACAAATTCTGGGTGTTTGCCTGTATAATCAAAGCTGTACGAGTCTGTTCAAACACAGATACAAATGCCCATAAACAGCATCCCTCAGTCCAAACAGACTTGTACTGCGTAGCAAGAGAAGACAACAGAGTGAAGTAAGACGCTCGTTTTTTCCGAGACATCTTCCAGTAAAGAAAATGTTTTGTTAAAAATAATAAGCTGCCTCCACTCTGAGACTTAGCATTAATGTTTGATGAACTCAAACCACAGACACACACTGGGCATGGCAGCGCCGCATCAACACCCACACTGTCTGGCATGACAACAAACGACTCAAGAAACAAAGACACTACTATCTAGCATCCTGCCCACCGAGGATAATGTTTGGACAGTGATATGAGCCAGCATCTAGAATATGTTGCTATTGTTCCAAAATCCCCACAATAGCGGAGGACTGAATTACAAAGATGCGGCTGGGTAGAGATGAATGGAGCAGACTGTGACTGGATGAATCATGAAGTCCACTTCAGATTGCTCTAATTGTCAGCGAATGCATTACCATTGCAAGCTAAATAGCCAAGCCATGGACTTATTCGTCATCTCTGTCAGTCAGTCGTGGAGTGTGGTGGTACTAGCATACATTCCCCTCTGGCCTCTCTTTGATTTTATTTCAGACACAGAGGGTCAGTTTTAACGCAGCAACAGTTCAGTTAAATTTATACCACACTTGACATGAGTCTTTGTCACAATGGTGACAATGCAGCCTTGCATTCAGTACATACAGGTGGTGGCAACATGCAGCTCTTACTCTACTCTGTTGTTTCTGTGGAGCAAACATCACATTATATGACTGAGCTACCAGGTCAACTGCAATACTCAGCAGTGAATGAGCTTAACTGTTGACTGACACAACCAGAGCAGCACTAGTACTTTGTAGTCACTCAGTTAAGGCTCTTAGAGCCACCAGTTACACTCGAAACCTCATTGCTGCAAAGTGGCAGCATACACCAAGGTTCATGCAACTGGGTTTCTGAAGAGTCCATGTTTTCAACCTGTACCTATAGCGATATTTTACTCAGTTTTCATGCATTTTCATTAATCAGTTTTACAAATGTATCCTCAGAACACTGAACTATGCACAGTGTGGATAAATCCAGCTAATGTGACTTTTTAAATACAAGACCAGTTTAACTCTTAAGAATAACAGTCTTTAGCCCAGTCTACATTTCTTCTGTCTAAACCTTCTCTGCCACCTTCCTGTTCCATCTCTCTCTCTACACCATGTGGCTGGCCGTGTTGGGAACATCACTGGGGAGATTCTTTCCACAATTAACTCACACTCTCCCTACTGGCTCACACTTCAGCATTCCACTCCCCTGGCAGGACACTCTTCCAGTGCCCTTGTAGACAGACAGGGGTGTGGGCTGTGTTGGCATTAAGTGGTAGTGGTAGTGGTAAGGGTGGAGTAGTGATCACTCTCTCAGGAGTTACATCAGACTTGGTTCTCCTTGCCCTGTCTTGGTTAGACACAACAAATGGTGTCCTGTCTTTCCAGTGAGCCATGACAGCCTCAGTGTGAAGGAATCCATCTTGTCAAGATCTGCTGGTAACCTGAGCACACCTTAGGCATTCCCATAAGCAAGGAACAGCCTCTTGCATTAGGATTTCATGTCTTAAATGTCAAAGAGATTGGGCACCGACATGAGCCAACCTCTTGCTCTTTGATTCCTGTTACATACCAGTGGACAACTATCAGGATGATACCTTTAAAAAGTGATCTCTTAGCAATCACAAAGATACCCTGATTCATCACCATCCACTGATATCTGAACATCACCTGGTAAAGAGAAGCCCCTGTGGATGTAACTGTTGTAGAATATACAAAAAATGCTTGTTGTCTATGTCCACTGACCTCGGACCAACACAATACACTTTACCACACTTCTTGAGAGGAATAGGTTTAGACAAAGCTGCAGATGGTTTTAATTCATTTCTTAGCTATCAGTCAAAGAATTTATGATGGGAATATGGTACAATGTAACAACATGGAAGAAACACTCACCTTTAATCAATCGCTCCGTTGTGGACTGTTTCTCTTTGTCTTTATCCTTTGCTGACATCTTTGCTTAGACTGGAGGCTAATTTCAAGGGTCAAGTCTTGGACAGTTCTCTTGCCAGCTGGCCTGAGGAAGCGCTAGCACACCCGTCAGACCGTCAGCTCTCTCTTGACTTTAGGCTGGAGTTGGGAGGCACTAGTTTTGTGTTTGAGCTCTCCAAGAAACTCTCAAGATTCGCTAACGAAGGCGCTCCAGCTCTTGTGGTCTGACTAGCTAATACCCTAGCTAGCTTGCAGCACCATTAATGCTAGTGACTACTTAAAGCACAAAGTAGCTATGCTGATACAATTTTAGTTTTAATTATAAAAGAACAAAGGTGAGAACGTTTACTGTGTGAGAGGTGATGACTACGGCAAATATCTGTGTATTGCCTAGACTGAGGCTGCCGTTAGTAGCCAATCCGATTTAGTTACTCTTTTTCAGCTAGTTAGCCCGCTAACATTTTAACGTTTTGGCAAGTCGGCGGACAGGCAAAAACAGCAAGGGAAGACTGGCGTTTCATCTTCTATGTAAATGCCGCGTCTTGTAGAAAACAATAACAGCAGCACGACACGTAAAATCGCGTTTATTCAGTCTGCATAATACTGCGAGTCCTTCCAAGATGCAGACACCGTATCCTCCCCTCGGATTAAACTCTAATCTGACAATGACTGAGGAGCGGCGGTGGATTTCCTACAACATGGTGGAGCCGATGTGACGTGACTATGGAAACGTATCACGTGGGCTAGGGGTGTGTTCAAACACACAAACCTTTCTGGTTGAAGTCTGAAGTGGACAGGGCTTTCCTTTGTGTTCCTTCGTTTGTGCATGTGCATGGCTGTAAACGTTGGAAAATACCTCTAATACTGCAACACTGGAGCAAAGGCGTCCGAAGCGAGTGTTGTGTGAACCAGGGTAAATATGTAGTATAAGCTCCGAGTGTCTTTTTATCAACTTTTTCCTATCTGTATCCGAACTGTCATTGGGTTTTCCTGATCTAATCCAAGTCACTTCGTCCTAAATTTTTTAACATAGAAGCACACAAAACAGATTAGAAACAATATTCTGTAAGTTGTTCTATCTATCTATCCATAAACAGTACAGGACGCGCCAATATAACAATAACAAGGCACACTGAGAATTTTCCGTAAGTGAATGCAGCTGTGCGGTAGAGGTGCATTCAAAACCCAAAAGGCGTCGGACATTGTGAACACACATCGATGCAGTGTATTAAAATAGGCCTACTGTAAGTTAGATTCTAATGGATAACCATAGCAATTTATACATAGCAAAATAAGGCCAGCAACTAATTACAATACAGGGAACTGTGACATATTTTTCTCCACATAGCAATAGGGAACATTTTCATTCATTACCAAACCCTGAACACTAGATGGCTGTATCGTTTCATTTAAAAGAAATGCATCATTCTTCTTATGTGAAACAAGCCTACTGGAGACTGATGAGACAATATGTGATAAGTCGGACATATTCCCCATGTAATAAAGCGACTGGATAAAACCAGATACAAAACGAGATTTATTTAACTTGAAAATAGCATTAAATTCCACTTAGACATTAAAGTAAATACCTACAACATTACACTGAAAATACCATGATCCACAAGAGGATCAGCTCAAACTGAAAAAGCAGCTCAACAGCTAACTTAAAAGGGGGAGTGGGTCGGGATTAATGAGGAATCTTCAGACTTGACACAAAGACCAAAGGCCATGCACAAAAGTTACCCACTGTTAGTTGTTAGAAATGCTGGTTCATCCAGGCATTAATGCTTTAGTTTCTGCTTTAACAAGAATGCTTTGTCCATTTCTTTGCCCTGAGGTGAAGAATTATCACCAAGACATGACACAAAACATTTCAAAGCCCTGTCATTAAAAATAAAAAAAAAAAAAAAAAAAAGGGAGCCATTAAAAAGTACTTTAGGCAATCCTCATTACAGTGGAGGGAGATTGGAAGAGACGTACTAGCACCACTAGGCACACAGCCTGAGGGTGTCTTCTCTCTCTGGCACATGATCAGTATCGCTCAACTCTGGCCTTCTGCTTCAAATGAGAAAGCAAAGCCTGACAGTCAGACACTGCCTTTTTCTACCTTCTGGTGGAACATGAAATTAGAAGCAGGAGGAGAAGACCAAATGCCAGGCCAGTTTTTCATCTGCTAGGTTTGGAGGGCTGGGATTCTAACCTCTACAGCTGAGCAGGGTAGTTAGCAGGACGTGATTAACGTCACTTCAAGCGTAGGCACTCGTGGCTCTTCAACAGTGCACAGCGACAGCAGTTGGGAGGACAAAAAGTGAACTTTTAATCGCACCAGAAAAAAAAAAAGTTTCCTCCCAAAGCCAGGCTGGCCTTGTAAATTGAAGAAATCTGGTTTGCATGTTTACAAAAGGGCGTTTAAGCTCAACGTGACAGACGGATATGTAGGGTACAATGATAGTTTATGGTTGTTTTTTTTTTTTTTTTTTTGGGGGGGGGAGTACACTGAACTTTGTCTTTGGTGCCCAGTGACAGAAAACTGAACAGAACCTTAAGTATGCAATCCAAAGAACTGTTGGCATAGAGTGTAATTTCCAATACCATCTGAGGGGTTGAAAACAACAGCCATTATAAGGAGTGTTGCATTACAACAGAAACCCATAGAAAACAACACACACTGAATTGTATGGCTATACATTAATCCTTCACTTCAGGCAAGGCTCCAAAGGCCTAGGAATCTGTTGCAATAGTTCAGCCACTAAGCTCTCCTTCAACTGCCTTTTGACTTCTGCCCTGAGATGGCCCATGTGCAACAGTCAGCCATCTTGTACCAGTGGCAGGTGTGGACTCTCAGACAGCCGCATACTGAAGCAGAGCTACATTAAAGCCCTCCATTACATGTTAATTAGTCTATCATGGCTATTATAAAAATCACAGCATAGATGCAGTTTTGCCTGAATATATTATGGAAAATGTTTTTTTTTTTTCAAAACTGCACAGTAATTAGGGTCTCTTCACTTGCATATACAACACCAGTAATTTAGTATGCTGCAGATGGAAATGTCAAATCAAACCTTTTTTTGAATAACTTTAGTGTTTCATATAAGCTAGAGGAACATATTAGAAGGGAGGGGGGAGACTGAAAACGAATGGGCCAGCAGAGTTTGGGCCTTGCTTGGAGACAGAAAAGTGCTGATAAATGAGAAGTCCCAGCTCTGTGACCCATAGGCTGACACTTTCACGTTCACTACAGCCAGTGGCAGGCCCTTCCACTGAAGGGACTCAGGCTGACGAGAGTCAAGGCCGATCTCCTCTTTTTTCTCGGAGTGTGTTGATAAGAGTGAGCAGTAAGCACTATTCCAAAGAGATTATTGGAGACCGACTTCAACTGAACGTGACCAGAACAGCCAGCGCAGGTCTGCCTTCTTCTGTTGCAATTGGCCGTAATCCAAGAAGGCAGATGACATACGTAGAAAAATAGTTCTTAGAGGAGTCCCAGTGGGGCAAAGTCCTTGACACACACTGAATCCTCTCAGCCCAGCAACTGTGTTTACTTACTGGATAATGAAGCCTGGTTGGTGGGCCATACGAGGTGGGGCTCCCTGATTCAAAGTAGGGGGGTACTGAGCTAAGAAGGGGTTGGGATAGCCAGACGAGACGTTGGGGAATGGTTGGCCTGTTCTGGGAGGAATTGGTGGGTATGGCGATGTTGAATAGAAGACTGGAGACTGTGGAGCAGCAGTTGGACTTTGAGTTGGATTTAAAACTGGGGCTGGCTGGGATGGAGGAGGTGGGGGCTTTCTCCTGGGCTGGGGGACAGGGGAAGAGCTGTTGCTGGCCTCACTGATGAGGGAGGCTACTACTGAAGCATCCTGAGATTGGGAGGTAGAGCCTGACACCTGGGGCAGCCTCTGGCCCTTCAGCACCATCTCCTGCAGTTTCTCAATCTTCACTCTTCTCAAATGGGCCAGCTTCCTCTTGCTCTGGTAAGCATCAATGAAGGAATCCAGGGTCATGTTGCCATCCAGGAATGAATCAGCCATATTCTGTTGACACAAGGAAAGAGATTTGGGACCATTTTAGATAGAGAACAAATAGAGAGAGTCCCTTCAGACTCTTGATTAACTCCAAGCTGAGAGCCAACATGATGCATGAAGATACAATGGGATGGGCATCCATGATAAATCACAATGAAGCAAAGCCAGTAACTTATACACTGTGGTGGGATTTAACATTTAAAAATGATTTATATAGTAGGATGTAATAATAGGATGACACATGCCCATTATAACTGACCAAATACCTATCTTTAAAATGTCTGAGGCCTCATTTATCAAAGCTTGAACAGAACAAGGTGGGGGCTAAACATTTGTGTAGGAACTGTCCATATAAAAAAAAGCACTAACCGGTGGCTAGTGGCTTTTGTTGTCTTTTTGTCCTCATTATGCAAGTTGCTAACTTGATCCAACCTTACTGTACATCTACTGCGTCACCTCTGACGTGGGTATTCCTCCCCCCAACCACAGGGGGAAGCATTGAGCAAATTGCTGCTTGGCACACCAAAATGAGGAGAAGATGACTAACTACTGGCTGGGGCTACCTTCTGTTGTAATGCACATTGGCTGACAACTAAATAAAATATTACATTTGGCTGTTATTTACTTTAAAGAACCCTTGACATGCTTTTCCTTGTTTTCTGACTTATCTACAATGTTTAAATGGTGAATTATCATCTTAGACATGACCTAAAGATCAAAAAGTGAGGTGTATGTATAGTACTTCTATGCAGAAGCAACTCGGTATATACATGTTTTGCAAACTCACTCGCAAGACTTTTTTCCTAATAAAATTAAGTATTAAGTGATAGTTTATAACCATTCAAGGAAATCTTTAATCTCCAGACAGTCACACATTCATGTGAGCATGCCTGACATCCACTGGTGCCATTGTAAAAGCTTAATTTTTCGACTGCGTACAGTTTTGTAGATATATTTTAAACCTCCTGCTGCTGTAATGTGACCAGAGGATGTGGAGAAAAATACAGGGACTGAGGTTACTGCATGTCCGGGAATGTTCTCGTACAAGGACTCATTGTTTTACCTGTCCGGGTCTAACCTACAAGTAGCCAGCCTGTGAAGCCCCTGTGACAGTGAATGATCAGCTCATCAATGCTGGATTCCCCCAGAGCACAGTACCTGTTTGTTCTGACTGTTTGAGGCCAGTGTGTCGGCCGCATGTCATGTGATGCTGGTTAATGAGAGGATTAACAACCCATGATGTTATTGTCGGGGCTACACTACCTGATGGAATTAATTTCACTACTTTGGGACTGTATGTGGTCGTGTGGGGGAAGACACAGCGACCACCAGCTGGATTTACCGACCCTGGAGCTACTTGAAAGGGAGTGATGTTTCCACCGCTCCGTGGGACTGAACGGTAAGTTAAAAAAAAGAAAAAAAAGGCATGTTGCATGTCTGTTAATGTGTTGTTTCTGTAATGCTAGAGAGAATTGTTGTAAGGCTGGAGAAGTTAATATGTCTGCATTATCCCAGTTAAAATATGGGCTTTCTTGATTACCTGTTACACATCTCTTTTCATTGGTACATATACTGTTGTTTACCTATCCAGGAAGGAGTAATTGAAATTTATAAAGGCTGTTGCGCTTCATTGTGCTGTCCTGCAGCAGGAGTTGTGTGCGTTCATGAACTATCCTCTCGTTTTTAGGAAGAGGCTATCTGGTTTTATCATTCTGAAATAATTACAGACTATTTGGAGTTATGAGGGGTGCCAAGCTAATCTAGAGGTACCCAAGATTAAACATTAAATGGCTGGATGACCACAACCACTTTAATGACGCAATGTTTCTACTATAAAAAAAACAAAAACAAACTACAATGCCAGAAAGAGTTCATTTGATGTTACCGTTAACTACATAAAGTTAGCATTTGTCTTCTTCCCAGTCACAACAATCACCATAACAAGAACCCTGCTGGTTCTTGTGGAATGAACAAAACCACCCATTTTGACTGCAGGGAGAGTGAAGACGTAACAGTTCTGCATTTGTGCCATTTCTTCAACAGATATTTGATTAATTAGTCTCTCCATTACTGTTGGCTTTGTTACACATTTTGTGTTGATGTCTGTAACAGGTGAACTTGTGTATGTGTGAAATGGGGACAGAGGGGTGCTCATAGTCACACACAAAATAGAGAGGCTGAGCTCACAGTCAGCTTTATTTATGTTGTCATCGCTTATCTTATCGCCGAATGACTGAAATTTCTCCTTTGCTGCCTAACGACCAGCTCAGCCAGCGTGATGTTAACTAATGTTGTTTGATTCTTTGGTTTGTCCTGTTGCTTTTCTTCTTTTGTCTCTCCTCTATCCACTCACCCCAACCGGTCGAGGCAGAAGGCCGCCCACCAAGAGCCGGGGTCTGTCGGAGGTTTCTTCCATTAAAGGGAGTTTTTCCTCCCCACTGTCGCCAAGTGCTTGCTCAAGGGGGATTTGTTGGGTTTTCCCTATGTAATAATATTGATAACAGTAAGGTCTAGATCTTACTTTGTAAAGTGTCCTGAGATGACTTTTGTTGTGATTTGGCGCTATACAAATAAAATTTGATTTGATTTGATTAATGTTGCCATTATTTAGTATCGGTGTAGTATCCGACAAGCAGGAGTACAGTACTAGAGGGTGGTATCAGAACCGATACTGGTATTGGCATCGGTGCATCCCTAACAAGCAGCATTACCTAAAACCATTTCTGAATAAGCTACTTCATTAATTGATTGACAGCTCAAAAATGCTGACAGAATCGTGACCTCTAAGTTAGCCAGCTGTCCTGCTGCCCACGTGTTCTCCAACAGAAGTGTTAGATCTGAAAAAAGAAGCCTCTGTAAGAGAGGACATCAACGCCTGGAAAGGCAGATATATCAATTACTGACTGGTGTCACTGATGGATATGTGAAGTCATCCCTGGACAGGACAGTATAATGCTTACCTCTGTCTCCTCCTCTATTTTGGCTCCCTCTGTCTGCAGCAGGGCCAGCAAAGTGTCCAGGGAGGAGTTTCCTGACTTGTGGTCTGTTAAATAACAAGACGGAAGAACACAAATGTTATTACTCTGTTGGACCATGTCCAGCCTTTTTAGCAGTTACACTTAACATCATGTGACAAGAATGGTAGCAGACCCAGAAGAACTGTATTTGCATACCATCCACCTTACATATCAATGGTGTTAGTATGCAACATCTCACATACACTAAAATACTGGGCAGTCGAGAAACTGATAATAATCAACTTGTCATCAACTTGTCATAAAGTTGCAAAACGAACATTGCTCTCAAAGCTCTTGGAATGTCACACTTTCTAATGGAATTAAATTAGGTGTCTCAAAAGTGAAATGTGTTACACACTACACTAAACCTAGTGCTATTTTACTGTGTTTTGATAACACTGACTGTAGCTTTTGTGGCAAAGATCCTTGTCAGTGAATGAGAGCTGCAGTACTTCAATTTATCCCTTCCTTTACGCAGTCTTTTCAACCCATTTTAGCCACATTTTCCTATGCACTGCTTAACTGTTTGAAGGAACATATATGCATTCTGGTTTGAGTTTAAATTAAAATCATTTATTTGCTGGGGGGAAAAAAAAAAAAAGATATTCCTTCAACTCTTAAGCTGAAATGAACATGTTGGTAATAACAGGTTTTAATGAGCCTGTCACACAAAGCTAAGGCAGGAAATGTAAAATCTGACGGTCATAGTCCTGTGACTGACACATCCAAACAGCTATAACGCCCGTATTTGCTGTGACTGCGCAAAGATCCACACGTCAAACGAAACTGAGCTTGTGTCTCTAAGGACAAAGCCTGTTTTGTTTATGTTCCTAAGAAGGACTGAAAGTCAACACCAACTGGAGCAGGGATTACACGCACATACGGTGGCATTCTGACAATGAGACCAGTGGCACATCCCTAGTTGCTGATCTTTATTATGGCACTGTCAACTCACCTACATTGCACAAAGCCTAAACTACAATGTAGTGGTTGTCTAATTACATGACAGATTCTAGTCTATCCTAAACTTCTATACACATCAACCACATGAACAAAGATCCAGACTGATTCATTTATGCACTGGACACCGAGTGTAACACAAGTCAACCCTGTTTTTTTTCTTTTTTTTACAACTTGTAACAATATATCTGCACTACAACTTCAATTCCTCATGTTGCCTCTGACAGACTCCAGTTTAGTACAGTAGTGCTTGAGCTAAATGCCACTGTCAGCAGCTAATATGCTCAATGCCAACATGTGACACTTTTTCACATTTTTCCATGTTCATTATGCTATGTAATTTAGCCTGTTAGCATGCTAACATCTGCTAGTTAGCCTCACAATAAGACACAAAGATTCTGCACTCAAAACAATACTTATTACAATCTTAGGTGTATCAGCGGACTTTCAGTTCAAGTCCCCTCACACCCCAACAAACAAATTTTTTTTTAATACAATGCAATCACTACTCCATCACTACAAGACAATCACTAGTCATGATCAAGGTGAACCTCCATTATATCAGGGGTCATTACACTTCATTTGAAATAATAAGGGTTTAAATCATAAAATCTCTTCTGGCCCTTATTTATGGACTTCGGGTATGGCCAAAGTACGGCTCTGTGATGTCATCAAACTCCCCGGCATACTGGTATCTAAGAATTTAATAGCTTTCCTGGTTAAACAAAACGTCAAAAATTATCTGAGTGGTGGTGATAAGGCAGGTGAAATGCAAAGGAAAATAAAGAACAAACAATAAGGGTAGGCGTTGACAAATGGTAGTTATCTGCTTGTGTGGTATAATACTCCAGGTCCAAACTGAGCCTTGTTACTTGCTACACAATATCTTTTTTCCTTTAGCGAAGCATCATTGAAGAGGGTGTGTTTTAATTTCGTCTCCTTTGTTGAGTTGTGGCATTCTTTCAAAGATCATCTTTGAGACAGTGGCTGGTATTTTTATGCCAAAGAAAGAAAGATGTTACGGTGTAGATGATGGGCTTGACCATTTGGGTATGGGGGACTTTGGACCCGGAACTGGACTGTTACATCACACTTAACCAGATAGTTAAGCTGCCTCCCCTTCCACTCTCCTATCACTGTGGTACAGCGTCCTCCACAAAACCACTGAAGGCATTTCCCAGCTGCTTGAACATGGGCCTTCTCCTGCCCAGCAGCACTAAATGCCATTTATCACACCATCAAATTATTTACTGATCAAAGTTCAAATTCTACACAAATTTATCACGCGTTTGTCACTTTCAAAATTAAACATAAACATAAAAGGCAAATGAGAAAATAAAGGCAACCCCTTCACATTTTTGTCAAGACAGGCAAAGGTTCCAGTAATAAGGCCCTGGAAGATCAGTGGCAAGTTTGACAAATACAAGAGGCATTTTGAGACTCCTTTGCAATAAACGACCTGCCTGAGAAATGTAGTAAATGTTCTTGACAAAGGTCAAAGTAAAAGTGTTTGTCATATGCACAGTACGGAAACGTGTTTCCCTGTACAATGAAATTCTTACTTTGCTGTCCACATGAATGCCACACAATACAAATGAAATATAAAGTAGATGAAGAAGTAACAAAATCTAAGGCACTTTAAGCAGCAAATGCAGCAATATAATAAAAATATAATAAGAGAATGTATGCTACATGGGAGCAGCATGTGCAGCAGTCAACAGTCAATGTGCAAACTGAGAATGTAAACAGTACAGGTCGACAGTACATGACGCATTTCCTGGTAATAAACTCCTCAGCTGTTTAGGAGCCTGATGGCAGAGGGAAAGAAAGTTTTTCCAGTCTAGCGAACAGTCCATGCTGGGGGTGGGTGGGATCTATGAAGATGGAGGCAGTTTTCCGCACCATGCGGTGATAACTGCTCTGCAGAGAGGGCAGTGGACTCCTGGTGATCTTCTCCGCAGTCTTTACCACTCTCTGCAGGCGCTTGCGGTCCATAGCAGTAGTGCTGCCATACCAGACAGTGATGCAGCTGGTCAAGATGCTCTGAACAATGCAGCTGTAGAAGTTGCAAAGGATCCTAGGCAACATGCCAAACTTCCTCGGCCTCCTCAGGAGGTACAGCCACCGTTGGGCCTTCTTGACCAGCTGTGTCGTGTTAAGTGTCCAAGTGAGGTCCTCACTGATGTGGACGCCCAGGTATTTGAAGCTGCTCACCCTCTCCACTTCGAGCCCCCAGATGAACAGTGGCCAATTCAGAGCAGTATACACTTCGACACGTGGGATTCAAACCTTCAACCTTCTGGTTGGGAGACAACTGCTCTACCCACCGCACCACTGTCGCCTCCCTAATACATAAAAGCAACAGCCCGGCCACTTGATTTGCTAAATGTGTCACCACACTGACTACAGGGGCAAACTGAACTGAAACTTGTAACCAAGAAAGTGTTTTTGAGGAATTTCATGAACAGCAATTTTCCAGACCATTCTTTCATTCATATTTACAGTTCACTGGTAATCAAATATTTGATCTCTGAATTGCTGACACTACACCCATCATGTTGGTTTCCCAAGTTTTACTGGCTGAGTTTAAGCTTAATAGAAAGAGGCTTCACTTTCGACACAAAGCCTTTTACCAGGGGTGACGGACTATTCCTTTGTGTCTCACACAGTCTCTCTTATCAAGGCGGACTCTTAGGCATATCGGCAGCACTCATATATACAAAG